CGTCACTACTTAGACCAGAAACTAGTGTCAAGAGGTCTTAGTGAAAGAAAAAAGTGAACTTAGTGGATCGTACTACCACCAAAAGATCACTCAGTGGAGCGCTAAATATCAAATTCTTACCCCTATTGGAATAACGTATATATCACTTTAAGGGGCAGACAGCATAATAAAATCTACAACAAGAAAATACACATCATAGTGCAGTATGCTTGTAAGGTGTGAATGGAGTGGAAGAAGATGTATGTCCAACTCACATGGTAAAGAGCCTGGAGATTGGCTCAAATCACAACAGCTGAGGTATGTTTGGTAATACCAGACCTTCTCCAGATATACAGCTCACAACATATGTGGATAAAAAAGGACAAAAATCCTAGTGCAAGTATGTTTAAAATAAACAAGTGGTCACATATAACAGTGCATGAATGTGCTCACCTGGAATAGAGCCAATTGTACTAGGCTCTATGTATAAGCGTGTGGTGCCTTTAAGGGAGGCACTACCCTTCTTTAGAAAATACAGGAAGCAGTTGAAGATCCACTACCAGATGTATAAGGTAAAAGTAACAATTTATTAAAAAAAAAAAAAAAAAACAATTAAGCAAAGTAAAACTGTATATACAGATACCAAAAAGTAAAAGTCTCTGGGGTGGTCTTCCTTGGAGTTCCGAGACGCGTTTTCGCCGTAGGGCTTTCTCAATCGGAGGTCTTAGACCTGATATTTCCACACCTGACAAAGTCAATACAGAGGATAAACTTAACGAGTGGAACAATATACTTATAGATTGCTCATACAAATTGATGCAATATCTTATGAAACTTAAAAAAGAGAATTTTGATAAAATAAAAAAGACCTACCGAACAAAATCACTAAGGTTTAGGAATTCCAGACTAATTCTGACTACACACTAATGGAAACAAAATTACAGAAAAATATTGATAGCTTACCACACATATCAAGGAAAATAAACATTTAAAGAGATTTCAGGGACTTTAAGGAAGGGAGAATATTCAGAATATTCAGACAAGCCAAAAGATCTAAAATGCGTAATTATAGGAATAGTTTTTCCTCGGGGAATACAGAATGGACAGACTCAGACTCAGGCTCAACACACAGCAGGAGTTCATCTACAGGGTCCACATGGACAGCACACTCTACAAAAAGAGGTATACTAAAAGAAACAAACAAAACGGTAGCCTTTCTAGACACTTCTCCATCATCTACTATTGCATCCTCTTCTTTTTTAGACCAGGATTGGCCCCTACCACAGAGGGGTCGACTAAGAGACCGACAGAGATGGGGATACAAACCACAATGCACCAGTTTCAGAAAGTAAATTATAATGATTTGGATATTACTAAAATGAAAATCATAAATCTCTCCAATTTTACACTTTGATCTGACCATATCTCACTACTTAACAGAGGTATATCGTTTGTACACACACCTGGTGCTGAGAAGTTTGAATGGCTCAAAGATCTTAATCTTTTTGGCCGCAAATTCGCACTACATTCACTACATAAAAGAAAGGACAACAAAGCAGCCGAAGAATTAGGTTTTACAAATGAAGATTATACACATCTCCAATCATTGGTACAGCTCATTGAAGAGCAGGAAATTACACCTCCCCTTACCAGCTTTAGACCTCTTAGCTGGTTTACCCCCAACTTAAGAGACTTCACCAATATTGATCTATTCGTAAAGATGACAAGTGACAAGATAGAGTCCTTACCTGGACCAATAATTCAACAGAATAACTTGACCATTGGCAAACACAGAGCTTTAAAGGAATTCAGTATGAGAAAAGATTTCATCATGAAACCTTCTGATAAGGGGGGAAATACTGAAATCCTTAATAGGGACCACTACATAGAGATGTGTATGCACCATCTCAATGACACCCTCTGTTACAAAAAGTTAGATGGAGATCCCACCTCATCCTACCTAACATCCCTAAATACACTATTGAACTCAGCTATGGAGGAAAATATCATTACCACAGACAAATTGAGTGTATCATACCTAAAAATCTACCAACTATTGCTCCCTTTTATTGCTTACCCAAAGTTCATAAAAATCTTACACAAACACCAGGTAGATCTATCGTCTCTGGGAACCAATCTCTGACTAAAAATACCAGTAAATTTCTGGAAAACCTGTTACACCCTTTTGTCATGGAACTGGTTTCTTTTCTACAAGATACCAAACAGACTCTACTCATTCTAGAAAATCTTGTGGTACCCCTCTACACACTTCTCGCGAGATTAGATGTGGTATCGTTATATAATAACATCCCACACACAATAGGGATCAAAGCAACATCATACTTCTTGGATAAATCTCATAAATGGAAAAAGAACAGAGTGTATAGGGTGTTGAAATTATTCAACTCCCCAAACTCTGTAGAGGTTACAAGAGGTATAGGGGGCTTAACCCCAACAAACTATGCGAAAAAAGAGAAGAATGAACTGGAAGACCACCAGAATACAATACAAAGGTGGAACACCTGTTCATTCATAAATCTATACCTCACGAAAATATATGTACTATATATAACGGGTACTAAGACCTTTAATAGAAAAAGACATACATATAAAAATTATATATATAACTGGCTATAAAAAATTGCCAGAGAGGGGTTCCCCTGAGGGATATTTAAAGTGAGTGAGAAAAGTATTCACAAAAGCTAACTAGAAAAAATCCTCATTGTAAGTTCTATAAGTTGCCTGGCATAGAAAACACTGTTATAGAAAGAACCGAACAAAAGGTATTATGTATACACAACAGATTTATCCAGGACTTTATAAAGAGGCAGAGAGGGGAGAGAGGGGGGGGGGAGAAAGAGGGGTAAATATAGGGTTAATTGAAAAAGGATACCCTGATAGTAAACGTGTCCCTAGATGTGGTGAGACTGTTGCAAATAAGGGTAAATGTATCAACAGAGTGCAGTATGAATAATATGAATGTAAGGCTAATAGCCAAGAATATTTGCTGCCAAAAACATCAAAATGCACCAAAAAAATACCCCAGCTGGCCCTGAACTGCTAGCTGACTCCCAAAATACCAGGGAGATAGAAATAACTATCTGCTGCTTCAAGGCAGCCTAAAGGTTATCCCTAATACCCCAGCTCCCATCTGCCTAAATAGACCCTAAATGGTCATGAAAGGAACAAAGAGGATGTCTAGTTAAGTAAGAAAAAAATAAAATAAAAAAACACAAAAGAAACTCAAAGTGAATGCATCGGCATTGCTAATTTGCTCGACGCGCGTTTCGGCGTGACTAACCGCCTTTGTCAAGAGCTGAGGTCAGCTCATGACAAAGGCAGTTAGTCACGCCGAAACGCGCGTCGAGCAAATTAGCAATGCCGATGCATTCACTTTGAGTTTCTTTTGTGTTTTTTTATTTTATTTTTTTCTTACTTAACTAGACATCCTCTTTGTTCCTTTCATGACCATTTAGGGTCTATTTAGGCAGATGGGAGCTGGGGTATTAGGGATAACCTTTAGGCTGCCTTGAAGCAGCAGATAGTTATTTCTATCTCCCTGGTAATTTGGGAGTCAGCTAGCAGTTCAGGGCCAGCTGGGGTATTTTTTTGGTGCATTTTGATGTTTTTGGCAGCAAATATTCTTGGCTATTAGCCTTACATTCATATTATTCATACTGCACTCTGTTGATACATTTACCCTTATTTGCAACAGTCTCACCACGTCTAGGGACACGTTTACTATCAGGGTATCCTTTTTCAATTAACCCTATATTTACCCCTCTTTCCCCCCCCCCCTCCCCCCCTCTCTCCCCTCTCTGCCTCTTTATAAAGTCCTGGATAAATCTGTTGTGTATACATAATACCTTTTGTTCGGTTCTTTCTATAACAGTGTTTTCTATGCCAGGCAACTTATAGAACTTACAATGAGGATTTTTTCTAGTTAGCTTTTGTGAATACTTTTCTCACTCACTTTAAATATCCCTCAGGGGAACCCCTCTCTGGCAATTTTTTATAGCCAGTTATATATATAATTTTTATATGTATGTCTTTTTCTATTAAAGGTCTTAGTACCCGTTATATATAGTACATATATTTTCGTGAGGTATAGATTTATGAATGAACAGGTGTTCCACCTTTGTATTGTATTCTGGTGGTCTTCCAGTTCATTCTTCTCTTTTTTCGCATAAATCTCATAAATACTCACAAAAATTCCTACTGGACCTCCTGCTCTTCATTCCCACGCACAATTATTTTGTATTCAATGGCACCTACTACTTGCAATTAAAAGGCACTGCCACGGGGATGGCATGTGCCCAACGCTATGCAAATTTATATTTAGGGTGGTGGGAAGAAACTGTACTCACAAGCATTGATTATCAACATAACCAATATATACTCAGTTGGCACAGATACATCGACAATGTGCTTTTATTCTGAACTGGCTCAATTACAATGTTTCAACAACTGGTTAATATCCTTAATAACAATGATATAGGTTTACAACTAACCTCAGTAATTGATTAACGTACACTGGAATTCCTCGATCTGAGGATAACATTTTCCTTTGGCAAAGTCATCATCCTGTCAAACTCAAAGCCGGTATACCCTATAGACAATACCTAATAGCGCGCAGGAACTGTTCCAATGATGCAACATTTTAGAATGAAGCTAAAGAGATCAAAACTAGATTTAAAGAACAGGGTTACCCCAACAAAATCTTTGAAAGAGCTTACCAAAGGGTATTCACCATGGACAGATCGACTTGTCTTCTCTCATCTAGACCCAAACCCACTCAGAATTTTTTTAGATGCATAGGTACCTATGATCAATACTGGGATCCAGTGGGAAAAATATTCTCCAGCAACTGGCCTATCTTGTTACATGACAAAGAACTCAATGATAACATTACCACCTACCCTAGCATAACAGCACGTTGACTGAAAAACCTGAGAGATATATTGGTTTAGAGCCACCTTGAACCACCTACAACACCTCCTCTGTGGCTTTCCCCCACAAAGGGAGTTTTCAAATGCGGCTCCTGCAAGGCCTGCAAATTTATTAATACATCCAAAACTGTATTTTGTACCAGAACCAAAAACAGTTACCCAGTACGTGACTTCATTAATTGCAGCACTACAAAAATAGTATATGTCATTACCTGGAGTTGTAATCTAGCGTACTTTGGTAAAACTTACCAACAATTTCGTAGACGCATATTACAACACGTCAATTCACTACCAAAATATACCAATATTTCTACCCCCATATCCAACCATCTTCGCTCTCAACATCAAGGTGATCCACTCAATCTGAAATTTCAAGCAATCGAAAGAATAACCACCAATGCCAGAAAGGGTGATTTTAATACAAGATAACTTAAAAGGGCGTCAAAATGGATCCATGAGTTTAAGACACTAACTCCATTAGGTCTTAATGAAGAGTTTAACTTCACTCCATTCATACACTCACTATTTACCAATAGAGTTACGTCTTTTGTCCCCTTAAAAATGTTTTTAAGGAGTCAAGGGCAAGATCGACCTAAATCTATATTGTGTATGTTTCTTTAAGGGGTCACAGTGCTTTCTACGCAAGTACTTATAATACAATACAAACCATTGTGTGGAAATCTGTTCACAAACAGGACTTTACATAGGACACGAGGTCATGCGTTTAGACTGGAAGAAAGAAGATTTCACCTAAGGCAAAGGAAAGGTTTTTTTACTGTAAGAACAATAAGGATGTGGAATTCTCTGCCTTGTTCAAACAGCTACTAGATGCATACTTGAAAAAACAGAATATTCAAGGATATGATCTTTCAATGTAGGGTAATAACTGCTTGATCCAAGGATAAATCTGACTGTCATTCTGGGGTCAAGAAGGATTTTTTTTCCTAGCTTGTTGCAAAATTGTGCTTCAAACTGGTTTTTTTGCCTTCTTTTGGATCAACAGCAAAAAACAAATATGAGGAAAGCTGAACTTGATGGACGCAAGTCTCTTTTCAGCTATGTAACTATGTAACGTAATGCAGTGATACTACAAACATTAAAAAAGACAGAAACACAAATAGTGCAATATTAACAAAGCTGGTGATAATAAGTATTGATTTATAATGGTCACCTTAAATAGAGACACCTAAAACTGGCTCAAGGTGTGAATCGCAGTCTGCTAATAAAGGATGGTACTTCCCTTGTAAGGACCAAGCAAAGAGGACTAGTAAAACTATATACAGACTTTATACCGAATAAAAAAAATTAAATCTATATACGGACTATATACCAATTAGTAAAACTATATACGGACTAGTAAAATGATATAGAATTTATTGACAGAGAAAAGTAAAATAAAATATTACATACAAGTATAAAGAAGTATAAAGTATTAAGTCTATGTAGCTTCACCTCCAGAATGCATTTTGCTATAACCAGAATCATTCATCATGATGATGTACTTCTCTGCATCTCATTCAGGTACTCTTGCGGAATACTGCAGAGCGCTGTGTATCTCTCTTTGTTGGTACCTTGATAAGGTATTTGAAGCAATCTGATGTAGCTTATAGAGCCAGTATTTTTATATAAAAGGATTTTTCTATAAAAAGGTTTGTTTATTTCGTATCATGGGATTACAGAACTTCAGCATTCAAATAAACTTATTTACCTTGCAAAACTGGAAGACAAACAAATTTACTGGGGATTGAGGAAAATCCCTGAGGCTTCTTCTATAGTGGAGATCCCTCCGTAAGGTTCTTGCAGGTTACATGGATTTGAAACACAAGAATAAATTGTGACTGCTCTTCAATCTGGCAAACAAATATGCAAAATGGATTAAGCTTTCCCAGAGGGGAATCCATTAGATGATATCAGTTGGAAACTAATATCATAAAAATATTACAAAAATGAAGACTAATTTAATTACTGGCATTATTTTGTTTTCAAGCCTTTACTGCTTTAGAAGATCTAGGAAATAAAAAAAAACCAAAAAACAATCCATAAAAAATAAAACCACACCACAATTAAAAATAATCTGTCTTCACTCATGTAGGTATCACCACAGAATGAGCGTTGAAAGCAAGGAGAGCCCTTAAATAGGCTTTCCCATGCAATGACAGCTACTGCAAAGTGTGGGAAATGTTCCCATGTTTTGCAACATGACCAAGAGTGCTTTGATTGGTTCGCTCGTAAGTGGTCTTGATTATTCTGGATTTTGATTAGCCTTTTTTGGGGAATAGAACAGAAAAATTAGAAGAAAGAAGAATTCTTATAGTAAGTATGTAATCTTCTTTCAGGTTTTAGATTTATTGCCCCCTCACCCTCACTAGGGGGTAGGTAAGGACAAATTCTAGTGGAAGTTCCTAGGGGATTGGGAACCTGAAGCCACTGAAGGGTGGGAAATGCTATTATTTAGAGAATGGGTGGGGGCCAGGAGGTAGACACTAGGTCCTCTCAATTATTATTAATATTAAAGCCTGCACCCATGGCCCATGACTCAAAGGTATGGTCCAGGGGGAAACTAGGTCTCCCTCTTATTAATAATATTATGGTCTACACCTCCTTCCCACAGAGTGGTGGCCTTTACTATTAGTGGGTGGGTGGTTGTCAGGGGGTCACTAGGTCTCCCCTTTTATTATTAATCTCAGGGTCCTCACCCACCACCCATGGGTGGGGACCAGTGGATTCTGGGGGGACGACTCTATGACACTATGGGTTTGTGCCAGGGGGACACTAGGTCCCCTCCTCTATTAATAACATTAGGGCCCCTACCCATTGCCCATGACTGGTGGCCAGGGGGACACACTAGGCCTCCCTCTATATTAATGATATAAGGGCTACATGTGTGCAAGGTCTATTTGACCTTCAGGGTACTGACAATATTATTTTGTTATGTTTGTTTCCTTAATCTACCACAGGCTGCTCTGTATGAATTGTTTGTCTAAGTTACTCATTTACTGTAGACAGGAACATTAATCAAATAGTCCATGTTCATTTCATTTAACTCATCCATTCTCAAGTTCTTACACCTGCCTCAACATTGATCTTGGCTTATCTTTTTCTATTTTCTGAATTTTTATTATGGATTAAGATCATGTTGTGATGTTCTAAATCAGTGGTCCCCAGGGCCGGTGCGAGGAATTCTGCTGCCGTAGGCAAAGATCCATTTTGCCGCCCCCTCATGTGTCACATGTTTATTCACTAAACACCAAACTGAACATTTCACTGTTTTTTGTTATTAATGATATATTAGATATACCCCCAATGAAAATATGCTTTTATTTTTGCAGCATGTTTTTTCTGCAAGCCCCTACTCTGTGCTAGGTAAATAATTTAAATTATTTTTTTATTTTATTTTTTAACGTATTTATATATTAAAATTTTTAATATTATATATAAATATATATATATAACAATAATTATATATATATTTAATCAGTATCAGTCTACGTGTAATTTGATATTAATATATATATATATATATATATATAATTATAATATATATATTATAATAGTAAAATACACCTAGGCAGTGTATGTGTGTGTATATTTATGATCTAAGTATATATATATATTTTTTTACACTTATTAATTTATTTTATTTTTATTTTCAGCCATCAGGGGGACCACCTGTCATTACAGGCAGCCCCTCTGCTGGCAATGCAGGAGGCAGCCTACTCGTCCATGTGATTGTGAGGTCCTCGCAAGGACCTCACTCTCACATGGCCGGGGGGCACCGGAGGAGGAGGATCTACCGCCGTGAGGGGGCTCCCTGGGAGTCCCCCCACCGCATCGCCGGCGTGGGACCACCGGCGACCGGGTAAGTAAGGAAAGATCGGAGGGCTTACTATTACGCCCGGTGGCGTTTAGAGCCGCCTAAAATAGGGCGTAATAGTACGCCCTCTGGTCTTAAGGGGTTAAAGACTGGGTCAACAGGGAATAGAGAGCTACCTATGTAAATACACTGCCTAATACATACTGTACATTCATACACCCACACTGTCTATTACATATGACACACACACTGCCAAATACATACACACAAACTGCCTTATACACACACTGTCTAATACACAAACACACAGCTACATTATACGTAACGTACACACACAAACTGCCAGTACCTCGCACACATGTACACTGCCAAATATACACATATACTGCTGAATACATGTATACATCAACACACACAAACTGCCTAATACACACACACACACACACACACACAGTGCCTCACACACACAAAATGCTTTATAGAGTTATACACACACTGCCTAATACATGCGGGTGCAGAGGGGCGGGTGCTGGCAGGTCTGTCATAGGGGAGGCGGGGTTTCTGTGAGTGCAGCAGAGTTACAGCCCCTGCGGGCACTCCTGGAGAGCGCCCTAGGCCACTGCCTAACTGGCCTAATGGAAGCGCCGGCCCTGGTGGTCCAGGTTTGGTCAGTATCTCCCATTTTAATAAAAAAGGGAAATACATAAATCATGGACTGTTGGTGGTCCATGAGGACTGGGCACCACTGTTTTAGATGAACTGCTTAATTCCCACTTTGACTTCCATTATATTAACCGTAGTAGTTGTGATCTTTTTGGCTCAGTATTTTGGAAAATGTAGACTGCAAACTGTGCAGTGCTAAGATTAGCTTGTTTTGCTGACCAGATGTTTTATTTTTTTAAGCGTTATTCCTTATAATACTCAACAGGTTCTCTGCCTACCTTAGTTTTATTGGCAAAGTAGTTCACAGAATTCTGTAATACCAAGATTATCCATAGTTTGTGGAGTGAATGTTATAAATACATTTCAAAGGATATTTGGGCTGAGCTGGACCCTCAGAACCATACCTCTTTCCAAAATCCACAATTTCATCCATGTCTAACTTCACGTTTTTCAACTCACACTTCCTGTTTTGAAACACAAATGCAAATTCTGGCACTCTGTACAAAATTTCAAAACAGGCATGAATATTCTAACTCTCACATACTGTATTAAGGTGCGGGTCCATGGTACAAATGGGAAGCTAACAGTTCAAGTCAGCTTTACTCACAACTGCCCTGGGTCCAAGGAAATCATGGAAGTTTATTGTGCAAAAGAACAATGTATAGATGTCTTGTAAACACATGGAAGGACTTTGGAATCCTATGTTCATGTAAAGTGTGCACTACCTGACAAGCTGTTTCAACCATATTACCATATTTGTCTTTTTGACATTTATGCATCATGTATCCTCATTTGTATTTATTTATTATTTTTTGAAAGTGTG